AATCAGGTCTGCTTTTGTTTCCAAGTAAAGAAGTAGCCAAATATGTTATTTAGAGAATGATACAGGCTTAACTTTTTCTTGGTGCACTCAAAAAGCATTGAATGGATGAATGCTTTTTCCGCGTTCCCACCATTCTCATCACATTCCGACCACCCAAGTGAAACCAGTTCTCCTGTCACGGGGATGAATCTGCTGGAGGAGATAATTTCAATTCTCATTCAGAGATATCGTCTCTTTGATGCGTGCAGAACAAAGATGATAGATAGAACATTTTATGACATTCATACTCCATTTTTCCAGCCACTTTTCTCCCGCTCACCTCCTGATATCTGCACAATGTACATCAGGAAAAACGTGTTCGACACAGGGTTGCTACAGCTAGCGGAAATAGAAACGTGAAAACGAAACAAAGTAAGATTATGCTCAACTTCAAGCAAATGAAATCGATTCAGACGCCTCTAGTTTTTTTAGGACGGAGTTAGCAACGCAGTAATCAAACAAAACAACACTGATAAAACAGACATAATGCAATAATGTATGTACAATTATGCAGCAGGACCGACGGAGTATGAAATGTCCAACCTACCTAAAAACATTGAATCATAATAGTGATTCCAAAAAAGGACTTGTTCTGAAAGAGCTATTCAAACTAATTTCACCAGTGTTGCATATGAGGTTATTGTGGCGGAAATACCCGTGCTGAGTACAGGTATATGAGTGAAATGAGAAAATACTACGGGATACGAGCATGCCTGGCGAGTGGCAAGAATCGTGAGCTCGATAGCGTGCTTCCAGGGAAATGTTGTCGAACCATTCATGTACTACGTATTGTGAACACGTCAACAACAACATTTCAAAGAAAGATCAGTTGATTAAATGTTGATCGCGTGAAGGTTTTCGGAATGGGACTAAATAAGTTCCCAAAAGCACACGGCTGGTTTCCCGGTCTCTGGAACTTTTGTTGGTATGAAGCGGTGGTGGTTGTCCAGGGAAAAAGATCACGAGCTTGCCGTCCTGGAGGACCTGTGTTCAGATCCCCAGCTCTACCAGCTAATGTTCTGCGTTGTATAGCAGCCCTTTTATTAACCGCTTCTCCCTATCCTGAAACTGACATCATGATATACTCAATTAAAGGAAGTAAAATAAAAGATAAAGTTGGAATTAAAAGAAAACTGAAATGGAGCTGAACTTCATTGTGGGAGACAATCTTTGGTGTACAACTCTCCAAACATTATTAGGGTAGCTATAGACCAAAACTGTTTTACGCTGCTAAATACATTTTCTCTGCAGCTGACGATCTTGATGAATGGCCCAAATTTACTACAGAACAAGTTGTTTATGAATAATGGAAGTTCGGGAAACTTCCAATCATTCCTCGAAAACAGGGAAAAATCTTTTGCAACTTGCAGGATGCAATCAAACATACCAAGTTCAAAGTTTAAACATAAGGGCATTCAGCTGTGCTTGTGACTGATAAATATGAGTGCCACATTCTCTAAATGGAAAAAGATAAAGACGTTGTAACAGGCCTGAAAATTGCCAAATGCCTAAAGCTGAACACTATCTCAAATAAAAACGTTAACATCCTCTCAACTCAAACGTAACACTTTGACTACCAGGAAAAACAAATGAACAGTCCGAACAGAATCCGTTCTGCCAATGTTTAATGCTATCAGATAGCCGTCAATACTGTCAGGTGAGAATTTACAGTGGGTATCACACCGCAATTCTTTTTGAAAAGCTCAACAAAGGGTTCAACTACTGAAATGGGATGAGAGAAAACCTCTGCTCACTGAATGAGGCCAATCGGGGAAACTACAACGGCGTTTGTAATTTGACAAAATAAACACAAAGGAATAATTTCGTTATCCAGCCAGTCGTCACAGAGAGAGAGAGGAGACAAGTACCGTGAATTGTTCACCTGCCGTTAGTATTTTGATATTTACAAAGCATTGTGTTAATTACTTCATTGAATGAACATGGGTTGAGGAGGGTGGGTGGGTTGTGTACAATAGAAGAACTGGTGTTACTTCCTCAGTGTATTGTGCCCTTATATAATTAACGTCTGTGGCAGAAAACTGCCATAGTTAGTAGGGTTAACACGCTTCGGATCACAAATACATAACAATGGTTTGGGGGATGAGATTCGTTCATTCGCGTGCTTTGCTCTTCTCAAATGTTCACATTAGATGTTCCCTGAGTTCAACTCGAATTGGCACTGGGTATGTTTTGCGAAAGCCTCAGTATGGTCGGAGTTGGGTGTCTACGGTTGCAGCTGGTCGCCCTCCACTTGAACCCCGTGTAATGCTCCGATACGACCAAGTGTCTCTAATAGCTTCTGCTGAGGAAGCCCTACTGTTTGCCTTCTCGTGGCGGAGGTGTTTCCCCACCAAAATGAGAGGACCAAAAGGAGATATCCGGAGCTATAACCGAGTTGGTGGACCGCTGGTAGTTCATTTAGAGGGGTTGGTCAAAACCATTGATACTAAGTGAACCAAAAAGAGGCGTACGAACCACACTCACCCACAACCTCCTCTGTGTGGCAGTGGTCACCTGCTTGATTGGGTGTCAGGGTGTATTGGTCATCTTGGATGTTTGACCCCGTCCGAAGGGAATGTGATCCGATGAACTGGACACCGACTCCCAATGGATTGTTGTTTTCACACACCACCTCGCTACATTGCGGGTCAGGCTTTGGTGAGCCGAAGGCTCTGTTTGTGGATTCCTCAAAATAATTCACCTGCCTTTTCCTGGGCAACCTGTCGGTGTTCAGCCCACATGCAAATCATGGAACGCTTCTTTTTACAAAGATTATTGTATCATGGTTTGTCTGGCGTTAGACGATAAAAGCTCAATTGTACACTGAGTCACAACTCACTGGAGCTACTGGACCGCATCAGACTGGCCTTCTCCGGGAATCGAAGCACCGCGATTTCTCCGATGCATACGTGCTCAACAAATGCATCACCGAAATGACTATGAACTTGACCATCTATCGCATTCTAACTCACACACGGTGAATCGATGCATCAGCACAGGAAATGGGATAACCAAAAAAGGACGAAGGTCAACATTGGAACTTGGTACCAAGTGGTTGACGGAAAAGTCCTTTAAGTCGCTTTTGATGTTTTTTGGGTTTCTTCAACTTCGTTTTCTTATACACTGAACCAAGTTGATACAATGGTGGATAGTGAATAAGCTTGGGTTTTGTCGCGTGCGGTCAGGCATTCAATGCTCAGTTGGGTCAACGAGGTAACGACATAGAAGGGAATGAAAATAGTGTTCATAATTTGTTATCTAAGTGGTTCCCAATTGTCATTTGCTTGAATGTTTTCTGGCCGGTCGCTTGTGGACAATCCGGCCGTCGGAGCTTGAGTGTTTGCACAAATTGTTTTTGTGAAGGTGTGTACTAACTGTCTGCGCTGTGACTAATAAATACGAAACCGCACGTATCTGGACCGTTTCGTTTGAAGATCGATACAACGATCGGAAGGTCTCAGTCAACTTTATGTTGTGCTTACTGTCGACAAGGTGCCACACGACCGCATCCATCTTCACAACCTCTTCATATGTGCTGAACAATAATTTGTATAAACATAGAAATTCCCATGACCGGACTGTCTGCAAATAACCGGTCAGGATACATCCGAGCAAATGATAATTGGTGACCAACCAATTATGATGCAAATTGTTGAAAAAGTTAATTACTTTCCCTGTCTTTCTCATAAATCACTGTTTGGTAATAGTTCTACATACCGTGTTGTAATGGTATGCTTAAGCTGCTCCTAAAACGTACTTGTTTGCCAGTTTTGAGTTCTCATTATGTGCTCCGTTTACTGAATAGAGTAATTTGTATCTGGTGTTGAAAAGAATGGACATTTTGAGTCTGTGTTTCGCGTTCACTGCATTCACTATTGAAAGTCTACGTGCTTCAATAATACTACCACAGTTGTACCATACACACGAGAACACACCTATTCGTCTGGGCAATTATTCATGAATCGATCACAAGTGTGATTGTATTGTGATTGGGTGCGCTTCCCCCGGATTCAGATAGTTCTCAGCCTCCCCAAGACAGCCTTAATAAACCTGAGGATTGATCTGTGCCCCGATTCCTTGTGCTTAACATTAAAAAGCTGCACTGACGTTCAATGTAGTCTGAAAACCGGTCCCCACTCTCTTCCATTGGAAAATAATCTCCACGAGCTTATAGGGGATAATTAAAGCATTTCCAAATCTGTTTGTTTGATAAATTCCTTTTATATAATCCCCACTCATAACCCATCTTGGTCTGGTCATGTCAGCAGTGTTTTTACAGAGGTTCGAAAACTGTCTTTTTATGCATACCGAATCAGGCTGTTCCTCATAACCCAATCATAAATTGTTATGATTGCCTGCATACTTCCACACACTGGTTAACGCTGCTCCCCAATGTTTATCTCTGGTCTAAAGGAAAAAAATATTTCACTTTGTTTTCTAGGTGACCTAAACGTTCTTCTCGTTAAAATCGAGTTGATAGAGTTGTTTTGATTGAGTTTCTTTATTTTCAAGCATTTAGACACTGATGATACTTTTATTGACCAGGGCACTTTCTGCACCGAGAAATCGCAAAAGTTGTATCAAATCCCCGAACTCGATCTAAAGAGCAACGCCTTCCTGTGCCTACTTCCACATACAGAAACAGTTTAATTTCCTACTTTTCTCGGCTATTGGTTAATCATAGGACAATTATCACCCACTTCAAGCAAATGTTTTGCATATAACTTTTTATGCTAATTATTCGTCGATCGCAATTTATTTTATTTATTCACCGTTGAGGTGCGTAAGTTGATAAACATTCGCCCTCTGGGTGTAGTGATTTGATTTGACTTGACCGGTTAAGCATGAGCAAGCACACCTCATTTCAGCTGGCTCCATCCTTGCACGTATTCGTGATTTTCACTGGTCACAAAATAACACCTTGCGTGGGCGGTTTGTTCAACTCAATCTGATCAATTTGAATGATGAATACCGGGGGTGGAGATTTCACAAGTGAGATTCTGATCAAACCCGAATCTGAGGTCAGTGTGATTCACGCCACGTCAAAGTCACCCGCAAACCGGTATACTCGGGAACGACGAATCAATCGGCCTAATTCCCCCATCTGGTCCCGTCCGATCGAGGAAGCGGAACCGAAAAAGTCAAGCACAATGGATGCCGAGGGATCCAATAGAGTGATTCTCGTTCGACGGAAAGATTCTTCCAAAAAGAACTCGTTGGTCCGATCTCATGACGCGGAGGAGATGAATGCGATGCTTTTAGATGTCAAGTGAGCGATGCATTGTGCACCAACACAAATTGTTAGCTACTCTCACCTCAGTGTTGTTGTATTTTTAGCCCAAAGACCTTTCAATTTCCCTTGTTTTGGACAAAGAATATCTGCCAGCATAGACGCATCCTATCAGTTTTAGACTGTCGAACTATTATTTATTTGTTATAAATTTTCATGAAGATGGCATAGCTAAGGTAAACGACATAAAAAGCATCCAAATTCTCCAATAGAACTATTTAAAATTTCCTCAGGTACAATAAACAAACACTGCTGGGTGTAAAATCTTTCTTGTACGCGATTTCACATCGACTTTAGACAGAGAAACCAGGTCTATAGGTTTGTACAGGCAGAAATAAGGAAATGCCAGTCACTCATCATTCAAACGCACAACGCACAATGAATGGAGTAAACAACCGTGGAAAAAAACGCGTAGAAGGAGTGGGCAGGTGGGTGGGTGATGAAAGACGATCTTGGTTTGTTCACTGCTGCCTGATTACGTAACAGTCGGTTGGTGATCCACATTTACCTCACAGATACTTGTGAGCGAGAGAGACAGCTATTGATTGGAAGTGACTATCATTGAGACTCATTGTTCAAACGCAATTGTCAGTTCAGTCACACAACCATTTGGCTAGTTCGATTGGAAGTAACTGAGAGAGAGAACGCAAACAGGTTGACTGCGAACTCTTTCTTTGCTCGTAAACCAAAGTAAACTGACTGGTATATCTGGTCAGCTCGGGAGTGAGTATTGATTGGTACAATGGCGGTAATACGCGCTTATTGTTTGAGGGGTGTGAACCCCTGAACGGGATGCCGGATGCCCACAACTGATGAACTCAAACAAGCGCAAAAGTCATATCTCCTCGGTTGTGTAACCCTTGTTCAGTCAGGCAGCCTCCGAACGTTTTTGTGTTGATCGATCATGGGTTTTGCATGTCTGGTTTAGGGCCTCGAATGGTCCAATTAACGGCATGATAAGCTGCTAATGTGCCTCGTTCAGATGCTCCTAGCGTGCAAAACCCCGGACGGACTGGCTGACTCGGTTTATAATCGATGCTTGTTGTGTCTAGTAATCTTCGCAACCGATGAACCTTTGCCAACGTCCCCGGTTTAGGATGCTTCCTACCGGCTGTCATTCGGTCACAAAAAAGCAGCTTCCTTGTTAAGATAACAGTATACTACAGTATACTACTGCTACTATATGCTTGTTGGAACGTGCCTTCGTGATAATTTGCAAAGAAATGACCACGACGGCTGAAGGCCAAAAACGACGAATAGTCATGGGGCAGGTTAGTTGGATTTCTAAGTGCAATACTGATACCGCAGTGATTGATTGACCGGTGATAACCGCACTAACTTATCAACCCGTTAGTGTATTTGAATCCTATCACCATCGCCTGACTTTCCCCGTTGCGCGTTATACGGTGGCCTGTGATAGGTCGCTTCCCTTTTCCAAAAACTGTATCGTTATGTATCTAATAAACGGAAGTTAAAATGAAAAGAACCAACAGAGGGTTCCTCGTGACAGTCAAGTCTGGCAAAATCGATAAAATCCATTATTTTTTGAAGTTGGCTTCCCTCATTTGCATATGTAGGTGTACCAAGTACTGTAAAAATTAAAGCAGTAGTAGTAGTAGTAGTAGTAGTAGTAGTAGTAGTAGTAGTAACAGCAATTCGGACGTCACGTACGCACTAGATCATACTGGCACTTGCACGCAATATCTCACGCAACGGAGACGAGAAAAAAAATGGATCATTAGTTCGCTTCTTAAAAGAAATAAGGGGTAATATGTAAAATGCACAACACAAGCTCAGTGGTCAGTGGTCTAATATTTCTGCCATTGTTCAGTTTCTGTCTGGGTCGCATGGTTTGTGACTGGCTGGTGCAATCGACCTATGGTATGTAGTCCAGACGCCGTGGCACACACGCGCTTCATTGACGTCACCCGTGAAGCTTGATTGATCACAGTTGACCGAAAACTGTAACATGTTGCCGGCTGGGATCACCACGGTTTTACTTTATTGCATCAAGGAAAAAATGCCAATTTTTTGTTGTTGTGACGTGGCAGTGTTCCAGTGTTAACTAACACTGGTGCTAACACTTGATGCTGAAATATGATTCATATGGCCCAGTAGCCTTTCGCATTCGTTCTGTAACCACTATAGGCCTATTAGCACCTACCGTCGACGTGATAATAATACAGCTTTGTGACTCTGCTTGACGTGTAAGGTCATAATACGTTTGACGTGTTCAGTACGTTCAGTGATTTAACTGTCTACATTGGCAAACGGAGAATTTTCTACTGTAATGAACAGTGTCGCAAACTAAAAGTTCCAAACTTCTATTAACAAAAAAGATCAATTCAACGGTGAGAGAAATAGCAGTTTATAAGTTAAATAAATTTTCCTACTTTTAAACAAAAACAAATCCTGAATATTGCGCTGAAATGTACATACATTTTTGAAGAGTATTCTTTAAAAGTTGCTACTAAACAACTAGACGGTAATGTTCCAGTCCACTGACTACGGGATGAGGTAATACTGGAAGATGTTCAGGATTCCCATATTTAATCCAACGGAGGAGTTTGTGTTTTAAGGAATGGAGAGTAAATCGTTATATGAAGACATGAGCGAAATTCAGCGTATTCCGAAAGATGAAAATATCCGGAAGTGGCGGTTCATAATTTTGNATAATTTTGGCGAAGTCACGTAATCGAGCCATCAATACGATTTCACTCTCTCTCTCTCTCTTCATAGGCTGCTTTTGACAGGCCTAAGACATTTACTTAATCCGATTTGTAAAAGTCTATATTTTTTCCGTAAAAGAAAAAGTCTTTCCTGGTTTCGCGTGGCTCATGCTAGTTGGCAGAATCAATTAACCGGGGCGAAAACTTCGGGGTTGCTATCACCTAGTTCGTTAAGAGTGTGTCGGACAGATGTGTTCATTCTCCTCTATGCTGTGTGTGTGTGCCAGTGGCAGTTGAACGAACACAAGGAATGATAAAAAAAATCACCAGTTGACACTGAGCGGCAGAAAAACGAAAAAAAATGCACCCCTTTAGTCTGCGGTGATTACAATGACCTTGGGGACGTTGTGCGATTTTGTGAATGTTCTATTAACCGTAATAAGTTTAAATTAGTGTAACCAGGAGAGTTAAATGGCCGTGTAAATGACGTACTGAAGGATTGTCCATTTGGAAGAACCTCTTCAATTGTTCACAGGTATTGAGAACTGTTTTTGGTCTTGGTACGTGATACCCTGAATTGATGGAACCGTTCGCATAAGATGATGACCGTCGACCGTGTAAGAGTTGAAGGTCCCGAAGTAGTATCAGTAAAACACGATCACCATACACCACACTTTCCCGTAGTAGGTGGAATCCAGTCCGGTTGGAGAAAAAACACGAATGGATTATTCTAAATACGCTGCTCTTAGTTGCTTAAAAACCGTACGCACAAGGTGAGGCCAATCGACCGTGGCGCTCAAGGCTAAGGGGATTGAAGTCCCGATCCGAATGTTCGCGGTTCGAATCCTGACCCGGGGACACACAACAGTCTCAAACATGAAAAAAGGCTGTCCAGTGATTTTCGTTGGTCATCTCACATTTTTCCACCGCTTATGAACTCTTCCAAAGCTTTGTGTAAATCGCTTTGTATGTTTGTATCAGACAGCTGGAAAATGCCCTTTCCATTGCACCATTAACAGACGCTACACCAATTATACATTCGAGTTGTGATAGACGTGATGAGGTGCGTGATGTAAGCAACAATAAAATCAAATAACAAAATACATGTACCAGCTGCTGGACCCGAATATTGACAGTGTAGATTGGTGAGTTACACTGGAACTTCAGACAACTGCTAGTTTGCCACAATAACCTCAGCTATCCTATCATCACATACAAGCAGGCCCGATGTGCGCTTGAAGTTTTCGTACGTTTTATCATCAAATCTATGTTGCGTGCCTCCGAGGACTGTTCCAAACACGGTCGAATCACGTCCAACTGGGTGAACTTTGTGATGTAATGGGGACCATGGATTCTATCGCTGTGGTACCCTAACAGACTAAGTATTGAGTGATCAATTTTCTATCCACTTAGTCCGGGATAGAAAATGTCTCGAAAAGGCATGGATAAAATAAAAGTGACTCACTTCAATGATAAATACTACTGTAGAAGATGTACGTGGAGAAGGGATCACATTCGTTCAAGAAAACATGCCACATTCCCTGCTACATTGTACTTGTAAATGTTTCACTGAGAAAACCAAAACGTTTTTCAAAACTCATTTTTACGTTACGCTGGATGAGAAATCAATGCCGAAAGAAAGCACAACGCGTCTCCATGAACTCCACCGAAAAGGATTAAATTAATAGGGCATTAAATTTTACAATGAGGTGAACTGTGTTGTTAACGTGCTGGTATGCTTGAGAGATAATGAGTGGTAACTAACACCTGGACGCCCACTGATAGAGGACACAACGCCTATTGGTACAGCAAGATTCGCTCCAAGGGAATACAGCACTGATACAGATATTTTGTTTTTCAGGCCTGAGATAACAATAAAAGATTTTAAACGAAGGAGGAATGATTACTGTGGGAACCATCCGAAGCTTATTCACTGACACCCTGATAGAAAGTCTATGTAACTGCAAAATAGCGCACCTTATAACAAATTCCATGGTAGCTTTGGGAGGATGATCAATAGTTTTCCTCCTAATCAATATTCTTCTATGTGCCCTCTAATTATCTCTTCGTTGTTATTACCTTCTTGATCTACTCATCCTGAGACGACATTACGCGAGGTGATTATTCCGACCGCCGATATGCGCACTCCATCTGATCAGGGTATAGACTACATTTTTACTTAAAATCACACATTGCTTTCATTTTATTTTTTGTTTATTCATTATCGAAATGTGCAGTCGACTTTCAGGAAGGATACCGCGGCCAAACAAAGGCTGCCGAGGGAAATGCAGATACTGGGAAGGTCGGTGACGCTCCCAGGATTTCAATTCAAAACTTATAGGTTCTTATTTAAGCACTCGATCACCGCCAGCGCTCTATTATTTTTTAACATCGTACTGCTCCAGGAATTAACAGATTAGTTGTGGCTCTGACTATAAAAAATTGCAAAACCGCTTTCTACAACGGTTGCGTTCTGAAGTTGATAGTTAATTCTCAAATTCGTTGTTCATGGCTCTGAGCATATCATTTAAACCTTTTCATCAGGACTGTAATTTGTTAATCAGCTTCATTCATTCATCCCCCTCCATAGCTCCTATCGTCGGCATCAATCCCTACCTTCTTATTCAGATGACAACACAGATGCTGTCGACATACCTAAGGTTTTGCAAGTCTGTGTTTCCTCGGGGTCACTGGCAAATTCATTACCCGATCACGATGAGTCTTCGAAGCGTCCCGGGAGAGATTTGTGCTCTGAGAAATATCTCCAAGTTCGGCGTTCAGAACACCCGTATCGACTACGCACAACCACTGCCGACCGAGTGAGCGTACAACACGATTGTAAGTTGAGATTTCCCCTACATGTTTCTATGGATTGTTGCTTGTGTGCCCCGGTTAGCACCAGTTTTGGGCAGTTATCTATCATTTTGAAACAATCGTGCATAATCTACAAGTAACTGCAATGCTTAATACTGACCACTTTTCTTGGAACGAATTCGTGGTGTAGAATTTTCGCAATCTCATTCTGATAATCTGGTGTATCTATTTTGTATAATGTTGAATCGGTTGACCGTAATGATTGGTTTGAACGGTTAGAAACCCAGGTCTCTCCTATCGGGCATACATATATCCACTCATCCCAAAATATAATTTTAAAGTTGATCATGTCAAGCACTGGAAATAAGCAGAACATTGGGTACAAAAGCTAGCTCAAGATATAAATAAAATTGTAGAGGCATGGTACTCGTATGATCGCAGGATATTTGGAAAACTAGTTGGACTAAATGGGTCCAGTCGATTACCAGTTGAGTGCACTTATCATGAAATAGTAAGCCACTATGCAATCAGGCTAGACGGAATGGGAGCATTTAGATATAAGTAACCAGAGTAATTTGAGGCTATATCCTCTCTGTTGTCTAGCCCATAACACCTGTAGATCGTTTGAATTCCGAGAAATTTTGAGGATATATTAATATCCAATGGTCACCCGGTGTTGCAAACAAGGTTGTTGTGATGAAAATACACATCCTCGGTACAAGTTTATGGATGAACGGACAAAAGATCACCGGATACGTATGCCTGACGAGCGGTAAGAACCGCGAAACTGGTCGTGCGCTTCTAGGAAAATTTTATCTATTCATTCAAATACTACTTATAATGTAGTATTGTTGTTTATTCTTATATCCAGTCCTAATTCACTCGGAAAGTCAGAAAGTGTCTATAATTACTCACTGATATAACCCATGCGTTTTGATTTCCAGCCTCCGATAATGTGACGGATGAAGAGGAGGTGGAAAAATATCCTCTTACTCCCTGCTATGAGGTAATTTTATGGACTGTGTTTGGGAAAATGGTATATATATATACACCAGTTTGTGTATTGATTTGAATTGCATCTTTGAATTGAATGAATAAAGGAAAACACCGGGGGTAATTAAATATTCAAATTTTGAAAATAAATTTTTCATTGATTAGAAGCACAGTTTACCCTTAATGAATTTGAATAGAGAATACAGGTTCGCATAATGTGGGTTGTGGATCGCTTCACTGCATCTGTACACACTGTGCACACTGCAGTCCATGTGATCACTAATAAATGGTCAGATATAAAACAACCATAGGCGGTAAAAGATTGCGGTCAAAATCACTCACCAAACATATTTGTTACCGAGGTAGCACCAGGGTGGTAGGTCATTCATTCTGTTTACATATTTGTGGATGGTAATTTGGAATGGCTAGTGATTCGATGTATTTGAGAACCTTGGTGTAGTTTGCGTTGTAGAGGATTCTGAATGCGTCACACAGCATGACACGGTATTTCATTTCGACCAGGTGTTGTCTGATTGACGAACCGAGTTTCCTACAGGTCATCGGTGACATCGCATTTCCGAAGTAGGCAATCCTTGTTATCTGAAGACAGTTTAGGATGAGCTCGGTTACTCGGTAACGCAGTTGTCCCTCAGTTCTGCCGATGTAGATGGCCTAGCATCCACACTTGAACTGACAGATACAATTGGATTTGGGGTGTAAAACAGCGGTTCTTTCACTGAGTGCGGTTGTAAAAGCTGCTGGGCAGTAGGTGTGCTTAACAACAGCAATCTTTCTCCATCCATGAATTTGCTATTTTTACCCATTATGTGTGACCATTTCTAATCACATAAACTGCCGAACATGTACAGATGCAGCGAAATGATCCAGGATACATTGTGCAAACCTGTGTTTTTTTCTCCTCTATTCATATTGTTTAGTTATTTTTGATTGAGTAACTTATTAATTTACTAAAATGTTCTGATATGCATGCCTAAGTTGGTTGATTTTGTGCTGTGACAACCCGTTTCTTCTTTCTCCGATCTAAGCTCCTTTCTTCATCAACAATACTGATCAAATTCAATCATTCTCCTCCCAGTCGGGACTAAGCTTATATGCCAGTAAATATCTTGAATGTTGACAGTTTTGCACACTCTTCATATCCGGCATACCCCACAGTGATAAATAACAATCCTGTATCCAGGGTGAACTCTCTCAAATATATATTGGTGTAAGTGTAGACAGCAATTTTCGTTGGTCAGCGCACATCCACTACCACGTTGGCAAACTGCTGCGCCTATCATTTTAAATTCAAAAGCTCATGCCGTTTTACCCATCTTAGTCACTTATTTCTAACTTTATATATTAGTGTTTTCCCCATCTAACTTTATTGTTTACAAGTTATTTTTACTAGCAAACCATTTCAAAGTCTTACGCGCCGTGGTCTAACTATTGCTAGCCGCCTTTCTTCTATTCCTGTGAATGAGTTAGCTGTGTAAAAATTGCAGCAATGATTCCTGCAGATCCTGAACACCTCCTGCACGCAGAAATGCAAGGTCATTCCGGTCCCTCCACAATCTCTTGATTCAGCCAAATTTCATTTCGAATGAATGCTTATCGGACTTCACTTATACCCTATCTATTACGTTCACTCAAACAGAGCATGACAATTGAACTACGTCTTGACTTTGAACGATTAAATGCCTCTATATCTCAGAACACTTTATCAACGGTGAATATGTTCCCTGTAATGGTTGATGTGCATAGTTTTTCGACTGGAATGTAGGATTTAGTGTTTACCAGATATGAGACCCATCCAATGTTGTCAACCGAAGATAAGTTTTGGTGGTGAGTCACCAAGACTGCTTTGCAAATTTCATACTCCAAAAGAATCGATAGTCACGTTATGACAATTCCATGAGAGTTTGAGTGACCGTTTCCTCAACGCCCACGCTTCTAGCGGTAAACGCTGATTGAAAGTGGCACAAAAATACCTACATAGCATAATCGATGCAATTTGGTTAGCAGGTACATCAAGACACATGGTGGAAGATAATGATCAAGCGCAGAAAACCACACACAATAACCTGGAGAACCGCTCCATAGAGGTTAGTAATCAGGAAGTAAGTCGTCGGGTGTTTTGCAATGCATCAATCAAGAACTCCCTATCGCACCGTATTCAGCTCAACAGGCTCCGTTGGTTAGGACACGTTTGCGTATGTCCGACGGTCACTTACTGTAACGCGCCTTATCCACAGGGGCTGTTGCAGGCCGGAGAAACCAACTCGGAGACCAGCAGATGACGTGGAGACGAGGCGTGAAGAAATGCACAGAGCGATTAGGTAGAGTAGATGTCTCTTGTCACTTCCGGGTTCGGGTTCAAAAGACTCCGAGACCTCATGGTTGGAGACATTGAAGGTTATGGTTGCGAACTGACAGCAATGGCAATCTTGCTGTCACTTCTTATCAGACCAGAATGTTGGAAACATTATGCATGCACAGTTGGACTGTGTACTCTGTGTTTGTTGACCATAGAGGTCCACTTTGTTTTCCCGTCCCCGAAATTAAGTCCAATCCCCATCCTCCTTGCACATTCTCACTCACCTTGTATGCAATGTGAGTTTGGCAGCGATCAGGGAAATTCGCTTCACTATATTACACTGTACAACGATGACGATGATGATGATAATGATGATGACGATGATGGGAAGCAAATATGAGTCTGTGAATATGAATTACCGAGGAATTGGGATGAGAGTGTAACTCGAGTTTGGTCCATCCCAGGTCTGTGGCTAGCGTGATTAACTGAGGATTTATATTGTGAAAAGACAGAGATGAGTGTGGTAGATTAAACCCAATTGTGACCGATCCCGTAGCTCCTTTAAATCAAAAAAATACAATTATAACGCTTTCTATCACCTAATTCACGTTATAAAGGGTGTGCACTGAGGGAGAAATCTAGTTTTTTGCAACGCCGTTACAAAAATGTAAGTGATTTACCAATATTTTCTCTGAAGATGCACACTGACTATCCACTTCTCCCGTATGTATCCCCACGCCGGTCTTATAAATGAAATACACCATCAAACAATGAACCCTAAACTTCAATTCCCATGTTATTGTTCTACCCCCAAATCGGTTAGAGCGCACCGGAATCGGATCCCAGACAAGTGATGTTGACTGAGTTACTCGGATCAGAAAAATCTCATCTGGAGCAACTGGAATCAATCAATGCGGTAGGTGTGATTCCATCGTTTCATCAACTATGCGTTTTCCTTGTCAATAGGTGTAAAATGAATTTACCAAGTAAAACATATTTCTCACCTTATGACTTGAATTCTCCCATCATTGTTAGAGATTTTCATCTGAAGTCTATTTCAAAATCATATTGATCATATACTCATTTACGAGACAACCGGTTAGGTGTTGTTTGTCGGAACGAACCGGTACGCATTACTCCACGTGGTAGAGAACCGATAGAAATCGATCAGGCTAGTTTGAAAACCTGTTAATCCGACTTTCATTGTAGATTTGAGCGAAGCATTTCGCTCTTAGGATGAAAAGCCAAATGTTGGCCTTTTAGAATGATGCAGTCGGAACACTCCCTTCCAATTCTCCGACTTATTCAGCCTTTAAAAACGATTGTTTACAATTCACCAATCTTCTATTGCAGCTGAACATAAGTTTGCATATTGGATCATAAGTTTTATTTTTCATTTGCACCATATAGCAGAATCCATTTTGTCCTTGTCAAACGAATACTCTTCAGATTTCACCTTTATTTCACATTCCCAGTTTGTTGAATAAACTATAATGTCAGTAGTCACTATACCCTAATTTATCTCTTTCGTTTGAGCTCATGATTGATGATTTAGTTTTGATTTAAATAGCCTGAAAATTTGTTGCATGGTAGACAAGTTTTAAATACCAGCAAACATAAGCAACACATGTGACTCTAGTAGTGGAAGCGGTCCACAGCTGAAACCCCAAATGGGCATGTTCGTATCCATCACAGATGAGTTTTCGGAGAACAACCGAACACTCCACGGAGCTCAGCGAATATCAATGGAGGAGAAACGAGGAGTAACGGTTATAAACCTTCCCACCGTAACAAGACATTTCTTTTAGTAAATTACCCGGAAATTGCTTTGATAAACACTTAGATCATATCATAAATTGCAACCCTGAATCGCAGTACATTACCCCACGATGTAGGTTTTATGTAAAGTGAACAAGCATCAAAAAATACAGACAAAATGGAGCAAACAAGCGCAGGATATCATCGAGAATTTGATCGGTCTTCAAACGGATTATGTAAAACGACTGGGTGAACGCTTGAAAGGACCGTTCGACTCGAAAACCACAATTGCGGACGTGTTCCAGTCGATGGTAAGTCTAACCCGTTTTCTTTCATTGTTGTACTGATTGAAATTAGCCCTAAAAACGTGCACAGGTCTGTGAGTAGTCTAGCTTGCTTACACATGATCATCTCTGAATTATTGAACTAGTCAACTTTATGATTGGATAGAGTTGTTCGGATAATACGATTGGAGCAGTCTAAACGTTCCTTGTATTACGAAACCGTAAATCGGAATCCGAGAACTATTTCTCAATTTAATTTGTACTCTACAATTTTTTTATTGAGAGAACTAAGGTGAGATACAGGTGTTGACCAAACTCGTGCAACATCACCCTCATTTTGAAAACCCATTTCAGCTTGAAATTGCATACTTATATATAGATGGTTATGGGTACAATGTATTTATTTCTGACTTCGTCTCCAACATCTAAGTTCTTAGTTCATTTCTATCACCATTTGAATGTGCGCGACCTTCAGGGTCGCTATAAAATTTGCAGTAGTTCGAAAGTTACTGCTCTGATTTAGAAAATATTTTGGGCAAAGTATAATGGGT